AATAAGATTTTCAATCAAATTTAAAAGTGCAGATGGTTGAGATCAAATTCGACCGTAGAATTATTAACTCCATCGTTAAAAATATGATATAATTAAGCTGTATTGTCTGTAATTTGCTGATATAAGCAATTCTATTATGATGGATGATGTCGAATTGGCACATCCAAGCTTGGCACTTGCCTGCTTTGCAGAAGTGGCCACTTTGGAGGAGTCATTAAAGTAAAGGCTGTTATTGTTCATCCACTAACTGGAACCATCGACGTTCACAAAGTCACCGTCAAATATTTTTGCCTGAATGACATCTGTTCATTCTTTATTTTTCAGTCTGTTCACGTGTTTCTGTGTGACAGAGACAACACTACCGCTTTGTCGATTTTCAATGAAGTTTTTACATCGCATACGTACTATATTCAGGCCTACGTATTCAACCAACAACACAACCAGTGCACATGTTTATAAACTATAATATATATAAAATTTAGTGAAACAAAAAGATTTCGATAGACATAAATGGAGAATTTGAATATAATATAATTGGTATTTAAATTAACATAACTTAATTTAGAAAACAGATTTAAATTCTTATTTTTAAGTTTGTACTGTTAATCAATAACGCGATTTTTATTTTTTTAACATAATATAATTTACATTGAACACGAGCTACTTGATAAAGTTCAGAAACCGTAAAAAAATGTATACATAAAGTGAGTAGAGTCTGGTAATTAATTAATACAAAATTTAGTGCTAAAAATTGATTATTGAAGGGATCAGCTAGCTTATTAATATGCTAAAAACGTTAGAACTTTTATCGATCAAAGTAAATCAACAGCATCTGATAATTTGGTGGTCAGCAGGTGGTCGTAGGGGACAAACTCCTCCTCGACCTGTTCTACCTTCACCCAAATCTATCCCACTACATTTAACACCTCCCGATAACGGCGACCACCACATCGTTAAGGTGTCATTGTTGTTCGGGGCATTCTCCTGCTAATAATTCACTTCGGCCAACGACCGAAAAGATTTACCCTCCTCGCGCGACAATGCAATCGAAGCTGCCTTATTTTACTCGTGGAAAATTCACAAGAATTAAAAAAAAAAAAAACCTTTCCATCCTCCTCGAGCCCCGCTGAATGCTAATTCTAGTAAACTGATAGCAAATCTTTAGCACTTCAACGAGGTCGCGACTCACAGCTTGAGCACTGCCGATTTAAAGTATCTTGATTAACTGATAGCCACATAATTTGGGATGCCGACGAGTTGATCAGAATTAAAATAAATCTTTTTATTTATAGAGAGACTTTATAAACGTAGAATGTAGGCCATTGAATATTTTAATTGGATTTGTAAAAAAAAAAAGAAAACTGCGTTTCGCATTTAACTATTGCATCAAAAGTGTAATTGACGTTTTTATTAGGAAAACAATTTAGAACGTGAAGAATGACGAAAACGAAAAGCTGACAGCGCAAAGAGGCTGAAGTGATCTATGGCGCCATGTTTTAGATGATGAATAGCTTCTGACTGGCAGAGGAAGAATGGTGCGGTGATGAATACGTATGATTAGAGAACATCAACTATTAGTCTAAGTTGTTGACTTTAAATAGCTAAACTTAAATACTTTATTAACGCACGCGAAAGATATTTATTTAATAGTAAAATAAACAAACAATACAAATTACTGTAGACTTATAAAAATAATTAAGTTATAAGGTTGTATATAATAAGTTAGAAGGACGAAGCATCTCTAAATAAAGTTCGACTAAGTATTTCTTTCTTGTTTTTTAAAAACACAAATGATAATCTTTAAAGCTCTTTCAAGGCTTTCAGCATCTTCTGGAAAACGATCGTAGGAGATTACTAATGAGTAGAAAGGGAAGATATGCAAATTGAGCTGTCAGTGGCCGGTTGGAGGGCAAGTCAACATGTACGAAGCCTGCATACTCGCTATGACACCTGTGACAGAGGACGGAATCGACCCCGAAGCATTTCACAGATGGGATGATAACCTCCATCTACTCACAGATCCTGCAAATTAATGACCCGGTCTAGGAGACGCGTGGTGCAAAGACTGATGGATGATTTGTTGGAAATACACTAACACGTGATGCAGAATGTACTCTTATCAATAATCGTTTACCTTTTTTTTAATCACTTTTATAATTTATCAGCCGCTTATGCGCCTGCTTTTTTATTTCGAGTAGCTTTCATAATTATATTTTCTTAAATGTTGTCCGCATCCATCATTAAATGAATACAATCGAAATAAGAATCTGTAAAGTAAACACTTCATTGTGAGCGATAAAAGAATTATAAAAGTTTAATTATTACTCTTAACAGTTCGTTTTCTTCTCTTAAATATATTTAAAATCTTAATATCTTATCTGTTATAGAGATATGAAAATATTCTTGGAAGAAAATATTAACAAAACGGGTTTTTAAATCTTTCGGAACGAGTAGGAAAGGTAATGAAGAAGAAAAAATTTACATGAAGTTTTAGCAAAGTAAATTAATTTTACAACTTTAATAACATATTCCGTCTATAATAATTTCACATGATTTATTTACTCATTTAAACTAATGCTTGAATGTATATATAATCGAATCATTTTCGAAGTCACGACCCGAACATCACTAAACGCATATAGATTAAAGTAAAAATTATTCTTCCGATATATCATACATATTTCCATTTAATATTTTTATATCGATAATTAAGCGCTTAATTACTTTAAATCTTTATTAACTAGCGATCCTATATTTTAAACTTGTGTTCCCGCAATCGACGTTAAAAATTACGATATTTAGTTGACAATTTTTAATTTATTCGTATTATAATGATACGAATTAATCATTAAAATAGTTTCTACACATTTCTGTTATTAAATGATAAATTTTATTTAACTTACATCTTGCTGAATAACAAAAATAATGAATTTCCTATGGACTTCTTCAGTCAAATGCAAGAACGAATATGCAATTGTGCAGAATTTAAACACGTAAATGCTTTATTTAAATAAATTTAATCTTTAATATAATTAGAATTCTGCAAAATTTTAAGTACTTATTTCAATTTCGATCAAATTAAAAGAAATATTTCGTTAATTCTTATACTAGAAAGTATTCAAAATTAAACACAGATTAAAGTGTGTTATGTTTTTCATATTAGTCATAAAATATAATTATCAGACTTTCCTTCTTTAATAAAAACAAACAAAAATAATTCATATGTGAAATAATTATTCTGTAGGTTAATAAGTACTTTCATCCTGTTCTTTCACCTCACACATGATAATTACAGTAATCAGAATAAAGTTTCGAATATATTTTGGCGTAAACAACGACCCATATTTGTTTAATTATATAATTTTCTAGTTCAAAAAATCTTATAAAGATCTGAGAAATAGGCTATTGGAATTTTGTTCAGTCGTGGAATAGAAGATGAAAAATAGTCGACTGTTCACACCCTATTTGACCTTGGACCAAGTATCATCCATCTCTCTATATTCCTCCTTTTCCATTTCGAAATCGGAACATCCATATAATAAAATCGTCGTTAAAATATACCAAAAATAAATGAAATTTTAGCAAAATTTCAACGAAATTTTACAGGTGTCATAATAAATGCCTCCTCTGTATTTATCCTACTTTTTGCAAAAAGAATGCTTGTGCCAAGCTTTGGAATCTGGAGAAAAATCCGAATAAGATGATTTTTTAAAGGAAATATTAAAAGAACTAAATAAATTATGCTACAATTTATTATAGAATTGTTTAAATAATTAACATCTCTTACATCAGTCATATTTTTTGTGTCGTTAATTTCCTTTCGAATGACGTTTGAATGATCGTTTCGAATCAAAAGTAACACGATATTTTATATAAAACATGATAAAAATAAAATAAAATTACATTAAACTCGTATTTCTAATTCAATATTTAAAAAAAAAGGAACAAAATACCTGATTATCACAATTTTATGACGTTCAAAAATAGTTTGAATAGATTTTTCAATAACGTTAAGAGGCTTCAATAAAAAGTCAATCGTGATGTTATTTTATAACGCTATTAATAGAATCACATCGTAAAATATATGAATATAAAAAAAAGAGATGTAAAAAAGCAATTTGCACTTATAATTCATCAATAATAATTTAATTTTGCTTAAAGACAAGAGAAACCTTTTAGAAATATCTATCCTACAGGCCTATATTAAATTTCATGGCCTAAATCTTTAATTAAGTGCCATTTATGCAAAAATCCCTTCTAAAATGTATTAATGGAGTCCATAAAATTTCAGTGCCAATAATAATTACATAGCGCGCAAAACAAAACAAGCGCTGAATGTTAATTAAACACCAAGCAGTTCTTATTATTCAAAACGTCCCCCTCGATAATTAGACGATAGAAATAATCTCGAGTTTAATCACAATTACTTCAAAATAATTACATTACTATAAATGGATACTTTTTCAATATTTCTCTTGTCGATATCGATAAAAGATAACGCTTTCTAATGGCTTTGGCGGACTCGAGACACTCCTAAATTCGACGGTCGTTATACTATTTTAAAATATTCAATAGTAAAAGAGCGCGTATACCGTTCACGTGACAAACACGCGACTTTAACACCCCATGGTGTACGCGCGTTATCGTCTTAACTTATACTTCTATCCGTCTCACCTGTCACCTTCCACAGGTATCGAAATATCTCAACTCGTTCGTCTCTGTAGTTCGAGAGAAAACAAGAAAAAGGCCGGACGACACGACTCTAATCGATGTATACATCTGTTCAAATCATCATTAATTAATAATTAGAGAGTTAGATGGCCGGATACTATTTTCCCTTCTTTCGTCCATTTGCCTTCATAATAGAAACGAAGGTTACAAGCGAATAAAAAAGAAGATAATAAGAGTAAAAAGGGTCGTCATCCTATACTTACGAGAGGCTGTTCAACCTTAATTAAGAAAGCCGAAGGTGTAAAGTAATCCTTCATAGTTTAACTTACCGACACGTTTCTGTCCCGCAGCACTCGTCCTACAACTTGGCTCGGCACCTCAAAACAGTGGACTTTCCACGACGTTTATTCCCGCACAGCGCCAGCCACACTGAGGAGAAGAATGCCACCTTTTTCTCTACCGAACAGAACGGAGGATAATCGGAACGGGAGCAGTCAACAGCGCCGCCTTCGGACGAAGGGGTGAGAAATTGCTCTTCGAGGCAACCTGCCGATTTAACTCCCCTTTAAACCACAGGTTACCGAGCCAGCTTTAACGTCGGTTTCTCGAATTTAACTCAAAATAAATTACAGGCGGATAATAAATTGCGCGAGATGCCTTCACGGTGGTCTTGGATAATCGACTGGTAATAGGCAACGTCTGTAACAAGAAAAGTAAATAGGCTAAAGTTTCCGATGACAAATGGCCGAAAAACTGGTTAGCACGGTCCAATCGCTGCATAAGTAATTCGATATTTACTAGACGACTACTTACACAATCGAACGGTATATATTAACACTTATCTACTTTTCGATCTTTCTCCTGTAATTTCCTTCGCTTCATTTCCATTGCTTATTGCTTGTCTACCAATTTACAATTCTTTAGCACGAATTCCAAAATCCGACAGTGGAAGATGTGACTCACCTGTCTGTCTTCTTCCTTTTCTAGTAAATAAATATCCAAGTATGCGCCTGTTTAAGGTCGATAATCAAAGTCGAAAGTTTTAATAAAACAAGTAAAATTAAAAAAATAAAAATAAAATTAACACTCACACAAGGCGATGTGCGCTTTACACAATAGAATTAATTAGTCTCAACAGAATGAAAATAATAAATAAAAAAAATTCTAAGATGATATTCATCAAGGTCATGTTTGTAATGAAAGTGGTTCTTAAAGAATAGAAAATTATTCAAATCCTGTCTTTCAATCACTTAAAATGATCTTAATTTTAATGTTATTTATTCAAATTGTCAGGATATTTTAAATATATAAATAAGAAAATTTAGAGGACTATGAAATTTATATATATTTAGGCCTCTACAAGGCCTGCAATTAAAACTTAAATAGAAATATTACAAAAATAAGCCATTTATTAAAGCATAATGCCGTTTGTTTAGATTCAAATGTTAACGTTCTTTATTTAAATTGTAATCATAGTGAATTAACACACCATTAAAATTAAATATTATTTTTAAACCGTATAATCTCATATATATTAATTTTAAATTTAAAATTATTAATTTATTAATGATTGGTTATTGTAATAAAGTAAAATTATTACATAGAAACAATACTGAAAGTTTAAAAGATCTATTTCGTTTCAAAATTACTGAATTAATGGATAAAAGAAATAAAATTTAATAGGATATAAAGAAAAAAAAAAAATAAAGATTTATTACAAGGCAATGCAACAAAATAAGATAATAGTATTATAAGTTTATTATGTTTGCTTCAATTCAATCATTGAAGTGATCCAATTTTTAAAGTAATGTTCAATAAAAGGAAGAATATTGCATATATATTAGACAATAAAACTATCTTATGAATATAGTTCTATAATTACAGAAATTTTTGCCTGTTTAAAAAAGTGTTTTGATAATGTGTTCAATAAAATACAAATAGGAATTATTCTCTGTAAAGTATACGACTATAAAATAAAGTAATGTAGAAATAATTTTGTTTTACTTAATTTATTATGTAATTATAGTTTTAGCGTTAACTGCTGATATATTTAGTAGTTTAGAGACATTTCAAGACACAATGAAGACATTTCCTTAGTACTTAAACTTATCACTATGGCACTTTTGGCGCAACAAACATTTCATTTATACAAAATTTGTTAAATAAGAGACGTTTAGTAATGTAGAGAATAATGCTCAATGTGATCCCATTTTGAAGGTGAGAAACTTGAAGGCGATGAACAGCGTGTTCAATGGCCGATCGTAATAGACACTGTGATGCTTTCTCACATGCAATGCAATACTGTCTTTTGAGGTAGCCAAATTTGCAACATTTTCTCGATAAATCACACTTTTAGGTGTCCCAAAGCCACAAAATTGAACAAATTAAGAGCCAAAATTGCCGTAGTAGTGAGTAGAGTAATACCAGATGGTGTAATTAAAGTAGAGACTTTAATTACAGTATGTCGATAATTCTACTTAGAAAAACATACGTTTTCGAAAAATTCACCCTTTATATTTTAAGTGAAGGTTAAGCTATAATTTATATTATTAAAAACATATTGTTTAAAAAGAATTTGCTGTATTCATTTAATTATGCCCAATGACTTATAGATTATAGAAAAATATGCATATTAACTTTGCTGCAATTTCATTTACAACAAAGTCAACGGTTATAAATTGAGAAAATTGATGTATTTAACTGAAACGAGTTAAATACATCGGAGTAAATAATTACAGTAATTCAAGTAGTTAGTGCGGCACTAAAAGCCGTTTTGTTGTAAATTTTAGTAAACTGCATAATAAGAATAGCGTTGTTTCTAATGGGAGAAACCATTATAATTTAATAAATCACTAGGTGATCTTATATTTCAAATATACCGAGAATTAATAAAATGCTATTAACACATCTCGCTATTAATAAATAGCCTTAAAGTATTAGACTGAACTTCTACTACTTCTTAGATCATCAGTTTATTAATTAACGGTCTGAGGATTCTTCGGATAAATGTATTGTAAAAAAATATGAAAATTTGATTTTATAATATAATCATTTATATATATATTTGTCGAACGGCTGGATGGTCTATGCCATGGGACCCGGAATCGAATTCAAACGAGCGAAGGGGTCTGTTCACGTCTCTCACCACCCGATCGCCCCCATTGTGGGCCTGGCCGAACTCTCAATGATTTGAGGTTTGATGGGATATGGTAACGCAACACAAGATGCGATCTGCTAAGGAAGGATGTCTCCCAAGAGGGCTTTTTCTATGGGAAACTGGTCCCTATTTAGATGTTAAATAGCTAAATACGAGAAGAAAAGTACTACGTATTCGGGCGAAAATCCGCGACCACCAATGTTTAGTGGTTCATCCACTCGGACCATTGGCGGGCAAACTACGGGTATGATTAAAAACAAGGTCCAGTTAGTGTCCGTAAGAGAAGAGTCAAAAATGTATATGTATATTTTACATATACATTTATATATACATATACAGCAGAAGTATTTGAAGTTTGAATCTTTTTGCAATCTTTTGCAGATCGAACCAAAATTTTTATGTCAAAAACTTGCCTTTAGGCCCCAATTGCTCATAAATTTACAAAACTTTGTGTTAACAGAAATACAAAGTGATTATTATTAAAGTAACAGCAGATTAAAGTAAAAAATTAGTAAAAAAAAATGTAGATAGATCCGATTCTCACCTCACGATATATTATATATACAGTATTTGTATTTTAAGTACTTTTAAAAAGTACTTACACATTTTGAAGTGTACATTTAAAATAATTATGAAATTCTCAAAATTATTTTTCTATTTTTTTTTTCATTTAAAAAATAGTTTTATAGATATTTTTATTTATTAAATATTTTTGCATATTTTAATAATAATTTTCTAATGAAAGCTTCTGAAAATCGTTTTGAACGTTTATAGCTTAGCTAAACGAAGTTAATTACAGTATTTCCTTTATACAGTAACAACATTCAAACATTTGTTTAAGAAAAGAGAAAACAATTTTAAAGATTATTCATGGAAAATGCGAACGTTTTCTTGAAAATGTTTTTCGCCTTTCATATATCTTCAATGAAAGTCTAAAATTCTAATAAAGATCTAAAAGTACTACTGTACAATGCTATTGGCATAGCACTGTATAGTAGGCCTACAAGCCTAATTAGGTACTAGTTATGCGAATAAAATATCCGTTAAAAAATATTTGCTGAACTTTTTAAGTCATCTCTTCGATGTCAGAGGGTCTGTGAACGCGTAATTAAAGAGGAGGAGATTTGCCAAAAGTACATCAAGATAAAAAGTAGGAGAATGAGGTGGAGTCAAAATTGGCTCAAAAACTGTACACGTAATTAATGACCCGTTAACTGAAAAATTCATAATATATAGACATCTACGATGTTGGCCTTTAAAAATAGTGGAAAATGTACGAACCTGTATTAAAGATCGACAAAAATATATGTTCACACACCACACAGGCGAGAGAATGAAAGTTATTTTAACCTATATATTTCCATATTGAGGTAACTAATATTTTTGATACGAGCTTACTGCTACTACAGTATTACTACTTTCACTTATATACTATAGAAAAATAATTGTACCGTATTATAAATTAGCATTATTCGTAAGCTTAATGTCTAGTTACAATTTTATGGTAATTGGATTAACAGGATAAGAGTAACGCAACACAGGCGTTCTGCCAAGGAGAAGTACATCTCAGAAAGGATCTCTATGGACAACTGGTCTTATTTGGGCGTTACACACGAGAAGAAACCCAGAAAACTCCACTTGGCTAGCCCTTGGTTTCATTTCAAACAGTAATTACTTAACTTTTTACACAATCTTTTATCAAGTTTCATCATCATTCTGTTCCATTTTTCGACTGAATTGCACGAAACTTATTTGTTTCTACCCATATTATGAATTTGATAACGAATAAGTTATATTGTTTTTACAAATTCATTTATTTTCTATTAAATATGTGGAAAAATAAAATTTCAAAAGCAAAATTTTCAAATTTGCTGATAGAAAATACTTAATCGTTCCAATAAAGATTTTAATTTTTAAAATTTAATCATAATTAATGATAATTATAATTGCAGTTTAATATTTTAAAAAATATTCGAAAAGTTTTTATTTATAAAATGTAGAACAATTAAGATTAATTTAAAAATAGAGAGAAACAAAATGTTATCCGTACTTTTTTAAAAACAAAAATGTGACCCAAATCTGGAAGAAATGTTGAACTAAATTTCTGATCTGACCTTTGCACTTTGCATACTTCAGCACGCTCCTCTTCATTGCAATATTACTTCTTTTCTTTATAACATTTTTTAAATACTCGAATTTTAACTGAAAAAATTTAGAAATTGTTTTAATGATTGAAAGTTATCCAATGTTAAATAAAAATAATAGTAATACTTAGTAAAATAATATAATAGTGTAGGCTACAGNTCATTGCAATATTACTTCTTTTCTTTATAACATTTTTTAAATACTCGAATTTTAACTGAAAAAATTTAGAAATTGTTTTAATGATTGAAAGTTATCCAATGTTAAATAAAAATAATAGTAATACTTAGTAAAATAATATAATAGTGTAGGCTACAGGAAATATATTCGTGTATGTTTTCTATTATCAGAAACATGTAAAGAATGTGTAAAAAATAAAATATTGAAAAATGAACATTTAAATATAAGAGAAAAAATGAAATAAATTTTTTTTTTATTTCGAATGATAATAAAGTTGTGACTGACTTCTATTATAGAAAGGATCGTAGTATTAGTAGGGCAAGGCAAGGCAACGTAAGGGCGATTTGACAAGAGAAATGCCTCCCGGGAGGACTTATGGGGGAAACTGACCCCTATTTACGTGTTAGACACGTGAAGAAAACCTGGAAAACTTCATATTGC